GCTTATGGCAAAAATCAACTTTATAAGATAGCCTTATGCATGAGCTTCTTTCCTTAAAGAACATCTTGATAGTCACCTCTTTCAATGCAGCCTGCCCAGATTAACATGCAACCAGCTTTGTTTTTAAGTGCTTACTATATAGTGGAGAAAGAAATGGCAACTCACTCCAGTATTCTTGCCTGGAAAATGCCATGGACATAGAAGCTGGGTGGGCTACAGTCCATCGAGTCACAAAGAATCAGACACAGCTGAGTGACTAAACATGAGCACACAGTGTATACTAGACACCTTTTTATACGTAAAATGTACACAAATACATGGGTAAAAGCTCCTTACCAAAGAAAGAAGTTTAGCAAACTTCCAAGTAGGGAATGAAGAAAAGTTTACCATGAGACGCCCTTCCACTCTGGGCCAGACCTGGCAAGGCTGTGAATGTATATCTGTAGATCCTGGTTCTTGTGGTTGTGGATTCATGTGTCAAAACACCAAACACATCCCTGCTCAGGTCAGAATAGATACCACCCAGCGAATCCCAGAGGGAAAGGGGCAGCTCCGTGTCTCTGCATCATCCCTGGCATCTCCTGGAGCTGTCAGTGTGTGTGGTCCATGTGTGTGTGGCAGCCATTTGTTCACCACTTCTGAGCATCCAACAAGAGAGTCATCTCAGGATGCTTATTCCTACTGAGTTTGTTGCTTTTTCATTTACCAATGAAGTAACATGAGACCAGTACTGTATATCATTTTAGAAATTGATGCTGAAGATGGTGTGATGTGTGTGCAGTACATATCTCAGAATAGAAGTGTTGTAAAGCATTTGGTGGCTTCTCATAGTGATTTTTTTTCTTTTCTATTTTGGAATTTTTTCCTGGATGCTTCTAAAATGACATACACTCGTCTGCCAGCCTCCAAACTTCCTGAGTGGGCCCAAATTGAGTCTCATGAATAGAATGGGAAAGACTAAAGATCTCTTCAAGAAAATTAGAGATACCAAGGGAATATTTCATGCAAAGATGAGCACAATAAAGGACAGAAATGGTATGGACCTAACAGAATTAGAAGACATTAAGAAGAGGTGGCAAGAATACACAGACGAACCATACAAAAAAGATATTCATGACCCTGATAACCACAATGGTGTGATTATTCACCTAGAGCCAGACATCCTGGAATGCAAAGTCAAGTGGGCCTTAGGAAGCATCACTATGAACAAAGCTAGTGGAGGTGATGGAACTCCAGTTGAGCTCTTTGAAATCCTAAATGATGATGCTATGAAAGTGCTGCACTCAATATGCCAGCAAATTTGGAAAACTCAGCAGTGGCCACACGACTGGAAAAGGTTAGTTTTCATTCCAATCCCAATGAAAGGCAATGCCAAAGAATGCTCAAACTACTGCACAATTGCACTCATCTCACATGCTAGCAAAGTAATGCTCAAAATTCTCCAAGCCAGGCTTCAACAGTACGTGACCCGTAAACTTCCAGATGTTCAAGCTGGATTTAGAAAAGGCAGAGGAACCAGAGATCAAACTGCCAGCATCTGCTGGATCATCGAAAATGCAAGAGAGTTCCAGAAAAACATGTTTCTGCTTTATTGACTATGCCAAAGCCGTTGACTGTGTGGATCACAACAAACTCTGGAAAGTTCTGAGAGAGATGGGAATACCAGACCACCTGGCCCGCCTCCTGAGAAATCTGTATGCAGGTCAAGAAGCAACTGTTTGAACTGAACATGGAACAACAGACTGGTTCCAAATCAGGAAAGGAGTACGTCAAGGCTGTATATTGTCACCCTGCTTATTTAACTTATATACAGAGTACGTCATGCGAAATGCTGGGCTGGATGAAGCACAGGCTGGAATCAAGATTGCTGGGAGAAATATCAGTAACCTCAGATATGCAGATGACACCACCCTTATGGCAGAAAGCACAGAAGAACTAAAGAGCCTCTTGATGAAAGTGAAAGAGGAGAGTGAAAAAGTTGGCTTAAAACTCAACATTCAGAAAGCTAAGATCATGACATCCGGTCCCATCACTTCATGATAGATGGGGAAACAATGGAAACAGTGAGGGACTTTATTTTGGGGGCTCCAAAATCACTGCAGATGGTGACTGTAGTCATGAAATTAAAAGACACTTGCTCCTTAAAAGAAAAGTTATGAACAACCTAGAGAGCATATTAAAAAGCAGAGACATTACTTTTCCAACAAAGGTCTGTCTAGTCAAAGCTATGGTTTTTCCAATAGTCATGTATGGATGTGAGACTTGGACTATAAAGAAAGCTGAGCACTGAAGAATGGATGCTTTTGAACTGTGGTGTCAGAAAAGACTCTTGAGAGAGTCACTTGGACTTCAAGGAGATCCAATCAGTCCATCCTAAAGGAAATCAGTCCTGAATATTCATTGGAAGGACTGATGCTGAAGCTGAAACTCCAATACTTTGGCCACCTGATTCGAAGAACTGACTCATTTGAAAAGACCCTGATGCTGGGAAAGATTGAAGGTGGGAGGAGAAGGGGACGACAGCGGATGAGGTGGTTGGATGGCATCACCGATGCGATGGACTTGAGTTTGAGTAAACTTTGGAAGTTGGTGATGGGCAGGGAAGCCTGGCGAGCTGCAGTCCATGGGGTCTCGAATAGTCGCACATAACTGCGCGACTGAACTGAACTGAATCTATGTCACCCCAGTGTGTGGATACAGATTGTGCTCAAAAAATACTTGCTAGATGAAAGATTGGTCACAATACCAAGGGAAGAAATAACTCTAAGCTACTCTGAGACTCATTAGTTACTCTAACTTAGCATCAGGCTCCGGATACTCTGCAAATGTATTCATAATGGAGAGCAGAGATGTCAAGCTATAGAGAAGCATAGTTCCAGCAGTGGGAATTTTTTTCTTGAAATGTAAAATGTTTGTACATCAACTTTAATTATGTGCTAGTGGCTTCAAACAAGAGAGATCTTTAGTGCAAGTAATCTAAAAGTATTTTGATCTGTCCAAAATAAAGTTAATTTTATTAGGATTACTGGTCAATGTTTACACATGTTTTTATGGTTCTTGATAAATATCACCAACTGCTTTTCCAACAAGTTGTTTTTTGGTTTCCAACACCACTAGAGGGATCAGAGCATACCTTCCACACCGCTAGTCTCCCTCCCCCAACTCTGGGTAGTAATCGTTTTGTTTTTTTCCCCTAAAATTTTACTCATTTAATGAAAAATGATGTGCATGCTCAGTTGTGTCTGACTCTTTGTGGCCCCATAGACTGTAGCCCTCCTGGCTTCTCTTTCCACGGAATTCTCCAGGCAAGAATGCTGGAGTGAGTTGCCATTTCCTTTTCCAAGGGATTGTCCCAACCCAGGGATCAAATCCACATCTCTTAACATCTCCTGCCTTGGCAGCGGGCTCTTTACCACTGGCGCCACCAAATGCTGGTTCATTTTTCAGTTGTTGTTCGTATTTCTTTGGTTACCATTGATTCCGAACAATTTCTCCCATTAATGTCCTTGGCTCATTTTTTATCCCCAGCGGTCATAGTGGTCTTCTTGCTAATGTGCATAAATGCTATTACAAAATGGTAAAAAAAAAGAAAAAAAAGAAGAAAAACCATTAACCTCAGTCTATGTCCTTGTTGCCTGGAGGAGGAAATGGCAACCCACTTCAATGTTCTTGCCTGGAGAGTCCCAGGGACAGAGGAGCCTGGTGGGCTACAGTCCATGGAGTCACAAAGAGTCAGGCACGACTGAGCGACTAAGCATATATCCTTGTTGTGTATAGTTTTTTTCAGTCAACCTATCTTTTGCTTGCTTATAGTTTTGTGTGAAGAAGTTTCAAAATTGTGTGCAGTGAAATTTCAGTCTTGTGATGTCTTTAACCACTCCCAAGTTTGGAAGGTTGCACTGCCCCCAGATGTTTGATAGATATTATTTTACTTTACTTTTTTAAAAAAAATGGCCTGAGTTTTGTATATAGAGATTTAATCCATTTTAAATTTATTGGGATACATGTGTGAGATGAAGATCTAAATAATTAGTTTCTGCCAAATTGACAGGCAATTATCTTAGTACCATTATATTCTCTTCTCTGCTATTTGGTGATGGTTTTGTGAAAAATCATTTAAATTCTTCTGTGGAATAGTATCTACATCTTTTGTGCTTATTCTAGTCCAATGATCTGTCTGTTATTCAAAGATTACCACACTATTTCAAATTATCATGTAAGACTCTTTTCTAATATTACTGCTGCTTTTTGAAAATTATTCTATATTTACCCTGACTCTTTGTGACCCCATGGTTTGTAGCCTGCCTGGCTCCTCTGCCCAATGGAATTCTCCAGGCAAGAATACTGGAGTGGGTTGCCATTCCCTTCTCTAGGGGATCTTCCCAAACCAGGGATAGAACCTGGGTTTCCCGCATTGCAGGCAGATTCTTTACTGTTTGAGCTACCAGGAAGTCCTTAAAATATATTCTTTTTCTTCCCATGAAAATGATTCTGTTGGAATTTTGTTTGGGTGTCTTTCACCTAAAAATGAAATCTACAAGGAACCGACATTCTATTTCATTTTCCAATATGGTAATCCTCTCTATTAACCAAGTATTTGAGCTCTTTAAATAAGTTTGGATTTTCTTTAGAGAGGTCATACACATTTCTCATAGAAATTACTCCCAAGTATACATATATATATTTTTGAACTTGTAACTGGAACTGGAATCTTTCTCATTATATTTCCTAACTTCTCAGTTGTTTGCAGGCATGTTATTGATTTCCACAAATTCATTTAGCTCTTTTTCAGCCTTTTTAAAACCATGGGTCCTGTCTTCTGCAGAGGAGTATTAGGACAAGTATTCATGAGAAGAACATTTCTGTGCCACTTACACAAAATACAGAGTCACCATGTGATTCCAATGCCTTTTATATAAAAGATGAACATAGCTTTCTTTTACGGGGTGAAGAGATATATCTATCTCCTCTGTATCCCTGGTCTTCAAATGACTGCTTACCCTGCCAGCCCAGAGGAGCATTCCCAGGAATGCTGCTCTTCCCTCGTCCCGTTGGCGACCCGCTCCCGCTCTGGGCCTCTGGCCCGGGCAGCCCATTCAGAGCGCTCGGTGGCCTGCGAGCAGGGACCTCGCCACGCCCTCACGATGCTGCTCCTCTGGTTTTGGTGTCGGCAGCTGCTGCCGCCGAGTGACTGTCTCCGTTTGTCCTGGTCACCTGGAAGCCCTTCCAGCCAGACTAGACCCTGGTGTGAGGCCAGAAGCAGTGGCGCATCTTAGTTCCTTTTTGTTCCCAAGAAATCCAGAGCGAAACTTGGACAATTCAACTTACCCCACGCTCCTTTCTTCTTTTCATGGTTTTTCAAGCTTCTAAATATTTTTTTCACTGACTTGTTTTATACGTGATTTAGCTAAACACACCACATCAAGTCTTCTCTGAGAACAGGCAAGATATAAATCTTAGCAAAATGTGTTTTATGGTTAAGATTTTGATTAAATAAACCATACCATGAATGCTTTTCAGATTAACAGCATTTAAAAAACAGAATGAAGCAGTGGAGAAAGAGTACATATAAGTGTTACAAGCTATAATACCTCCTGGGTGTCTATATATGTATATATGTGTGTGTATGGCTCCTGTGTCCATGGAATTTCACAGGTAAGAATACTGGAGTGGGTTGCCATTCCCTTCTCCAGAGGGTCTTCCCGATCCAGGAATCAAACCTGGGTCTCCCACATGGCAAGCAGATTCTTTACCATCTGAGCCACCAAGGAAGTCCCCAAAAGTACATGCATAGGTTTTTCAAAACATACATGTTCACATAGATGATATCAAACATAGTTTAAAAGAATGGTCACCTAAATTCACATGTAAATAAAAATGTAAAACTACATGCCCTTTTATTCTCTAATAAAATTGCTTTAAAAGATGTAAATCATAGTGAAATGAGGCATCAAATAATCTCTAAATTGTTTGTTGATTTTCAGAAATCGCTGGTATGACCTTGCTGTCACTGGCTAAATGATGCCTGCGCTGAGCCAGGAGCTGTGTGAAACTCTGCCAGCCACTTTCCTACTGCATGGATGGGCATTAGGTTCCCAGAATCAGGGACTTCGTTGCAGGCAGAGAGCAACTAAGCCTGTTCGCTGTCACAGCCAGGCAGCCTGTGGATGTCAGCACTTCCCATAAGGACTGGACACAGATCGCCTTCCCCTCAACCCCTGCCCACGGTGTAGTCTCCTCCTTTCCGGAATTCTCCTGGCCACTCCTGAATCAAGTCAAGGAAATGGATGCCACCTGGAAACGGATAACTTTCGAACTGTGTTGTTGAAGACTCTTGAGAGTCCCTTGGACTTCAAGGAGATCAAACCAGTCAATTCTAAAGGAAATCAGTCCTGAATATTTATTGGAAGGACTGATGCTGAAGCTGAAACTCCAGTACTTTGGCCACCTGATGCAAAGAGCTGACTCCTTGGAAAAGACCCTGATGCTGGGAAAGATTGAGGGCAGGAGGAGAAGGGGACGACAGAGGATGAGATGGTTGGATGGCATCACTGACCCGATGGACATGAGTTTGAGCAAACTCCGGGATTTGGTGATGGACAGGAAAGCCTGGCGTGTTGCAGTTCATGGGGTCTCAAAGAGTTGGACACGACTGAGCGACTGAACTGAAAGGAATGGAAATTCCTGGAATCACTGATCAGACTCCGAACTGTCATCGTTCTCATTTAAGCCGAAGCAGACAACTGCCACCAGGTGGCGCCAACCTCTGCAGCGAGGACGTGAACCGGTTTGGGCCTTGCAGCTCTGGCTGGTAAAACTCCGTGGTTTCACTAACCTGGTAGCAAAGGCCTGGTACTTACATGGCACTTACATGGAGTTTTTTGACTCCACTTTCTGCATTAGGAGTGTGGGGGTTAGATTTAAATCGCTATGAGGTTGTACCTCAATTTTTCTCCCTTCCCAACAATATTTGATTTTGAAAAATTTGAAACTTGGAAAGAAATTGTAAGAATAATACAATATATATATATAATGACACCCATATTCCTTTCACCTAGATTCACCAGTTCTTACCATTTGGCCACATGCTCAAGCTCTCACATTCTCTCATGTCTCTCTAATCTCTCCCTGTCTAGGTGTACATTTTTCTTCTTAAATCATTTGAAAATTAGCTGCATCAACCTGACTCTTCATCCCTAAATACGTCACCATATTCTCCTAAGAACAAGGACATTCTTCTACACAATCACAATTACTTTCAGAAAATGCAGTATTGATAATGATATCATTATCTAATATATAGATCTTAGTATTGAGTTTTCTAAATTGTCCAAATTATGCCATTTATAACTTTTTGAAAATTCAGGATCTAATAAAAATATCTCACACTGTATTTGTCATAACCTCGAGTTACCTTAACCCGACATGGTTCCTCACCTTTTTGATCATGCGCACACAAACACATATGTGTGTCTCTGTGTGGCCGGTCTTTTATGAAACTGATATTTTTGGAGAGTCCAAGCCAGTTTTTTGCTTTTGTCTGATTCTTCTTTCATGATTAAATTTGGGTTAAACATTTTTGGCATGAACACCACAAGGTGATGCTGCATTTTCTTAAAACAGTTTTTAAAAGATTCCAGTGATTCTGTTTTCACAACATACTTTTTGTTCTCGAAAGAAAATCACTAATCACTGACTCAAATTAATTTTAACACACACACACACACACACACACGCAAACCTTCTTAGACCTTCCGCCTTTGTCGTTCTGATCCCATTTTCATGATTATACCACAGATAATGGACAAAAGTAAATTACACAATGAAAACCAGCAGCTTCAAGTTCATAAAGGATTATGTCGAAGTAAAGGCCCTAGTAGTACTGTTGACACGTGGGTTGTTTGCACAGCAACCCTTCTTTCAAAGAGTCGCCAAATTTCCCTCTCTGTGTGGCCTTGGCTGTCAATCATGGGACTCAACCTCTTGACCCGTGGTGATGGTTCAAGTGTAAGCAGGATGTGACCTGAACAGAGCCCACCTCTTCTCTAAGAGTAATCTCTTAGATTCTGAAGAAAAGTCTCTCTCTTCCTCTGGGATTGTAAGGTAAATGATTATGTTTCCTGGAAGCATTTATGGTCCTCTTCCTTATTTTATGGAGGAATATTCTGCAGAAGAAAGTCCACATACACAAAATGAAGCAGTGGCAAGTGGAGATAGAAAAATCAATAGAAAGAGACAGAGTTAGTCCATTTGACATATGTTAGTCCCTGGATCTAGCCATGCCTGATGTCGAGCCAGCTATAAATTCCTGTTTTATCCCCTTAAGCTAGTTTGAGTTTCTGCTTCTTGCAGCTGAGTTTTGAGTAATGCGATCATGATCTTGGTCAGAATCACAAGAATCTTTTTCTTTGCATTGGCAAAGCCTTGGCAATCACCAAAGGGCCCCAGGTACCTGGGCTATAATAAGAAAGATATTAATAATACACATTTCAGGGTACCTGTTGTGCAGATTAGGAGGGGAACTGGGTAAGTCCTTGACAGTGTCTGGCTCATATCAGGAAATCCATGTGCCACGCACAGAAGTCTTGGGCATCTCTCTAGGCTTCTGCCGTTTGCTTTGTGCCCTTGAATTTTCCCCTCACTGGGCTTCCCTGCTGGCTCAGATGGTAAAGAATCTGCCTGCAACACAGGAGACCTGGGTTTGATACCTGGGTTGGGAAGGTCCCCTGGAGAAGGGAATGGCAACCCACTCCAGTATTCTTGCCTGGAGAATCCCATGGACAGAGGAGCCTGGTGGGCTACAGTCCATGAGGTTGCAGAGTCGGACACAGCTGAGCTACTAACACTTTCACTTCACTGCCCAGACTAAAGCCAGACTCGGCTGAGAACAGTGCTTGCTTGGGTGATGCTCATTGCTCACTGTCAGTGTCTTGGTTACATTCTCTCCATTTGTCCTGTAAGCTCAGCAACATGAACAGAGTGTTGAATATGTCTTGAGGGTATTCTGTGTTTGTCAGGCTATTATTTTTCCAGGCGAGAAAGAAGCCAAGGGTGAGGCTAACAGAACGGAACTGCGCTGACAGTTTTGGCAGCAGGCACTCTCTGCATGAGCTGGAGCTGAAGCTCGGGGGTCAGGAAATTAGGGACACTGGAATTGGTAAGTCTGGGGGCTACCATGTGTATTTGTTTTGGCCTTACTTATCCTCTTTCTGCAACCTTTTCCAGGAGGAAGTTTGTCCTTTCAGAGGCCACTGTTTTGTTGCTGTCAAAGGGGCCAGTTGCAAAGAGTCTTTCAGAAAAGCAGAATTCCCAGGGAAGGACTCGTGAGGTTTATGTAAGTACCTATACAACGCAGGCATATCTCAGGGGTTATGGAATTGCAAAGACTCTCACAATTGCTGCATTTTTCTGGACTCCTCCTCTGAGTACCTTGGCATCTACTAAGAAGGGCTACCTCAGGCAGGTGCTAACCAATGTCCTGGTTGACTTCAGGTCTGGAAGACTGTAAGAGTTGACAGTTTGGCTGTCGCTGGTAGGAGTTTGTGGCCAGCGTGCACTTTCCACCCAGTCCCCGGTGTGTTTGGAGCGGGGATAAGGGCATAGTGGTGACTTCTCATGCCTGAAAATTTGGCCTCAAGTGGAAAGAATACGCTGGGCTTTGTGGAAGTCAGCCAGCCCAGTTTCCCAAGTTCTTGTATGTTTTGGAGTTGAGTTCTGGTACCCCAGGGCTGGAAGCAGGTGATCTGAGCACACTTTTCACTGCTTGGAAAAGCCTGGTGGGTGGGCCTGGCAGGGTCCTCTTTGTGTGGGGAGCCACTAGATCCTCCTGAGGAAGAACTGGTGCTAAGGACAGAGATGCTGGCATATAAATTTAGCCGGAGAACAACATCCTAGTGGCCGAGGCAGAAGTGGTTTGAGAATAGGGAGGCCTCCTCCCAGTGCTCCCATCAGAGCCCTGGCGGAGAAGTCACTCTAAAACCCTGAGAGCTGCTCCCGAGTACTCTGGGCGTCTGGAACAAGTTAGCCCTGCTCCGGGCCATGCTTCGGTGATGGTAGAAAAGGCACAGAAAGAGCACTTCCTCCTCCTAGCAGAGCAGCTGAGGCATCACAGTGAGAGCCGAGGGTCAGGAGAGAGCATGAAGGAGTGGCAGCTGGGCCGCCGCAGGGTGGGGCCTGGGTGCAGCTCTTGTGGTCCCCAGTGCCTCAGGGGCGAA